GTCATGTTTTCACCTCAGTGATCTCCGAAACGATAGGAGATACGATACGGGTCGGTTGAATGGTGGCAAAGTTGCGTACATTTATATGTTTTAGAAAATTCATTTGAAAAGTGTTGACGTATCGCCAGAGATACACGGGAAAGGACTCGAATTTTCCCATAATTGTTTCAAACTTTTTCTGAGTTTAATTGAGATAGTATTTCAAAATAAACTGCTCATTGACACTGCCTATTTTTGATCTCTGCAAGGTGGTATAAATAGAAAATTAATATGATTTTTCGTTTCTTATCCCCCGTTGCAACTTTGATTTTTCTCATGTATGCCATTTATGCATAGGCGAATAGCTTTTAATTCTGATTTCAAATATTATATTATGTTACAGCAAAAATGTTTCCCGAATAGGTCTGAAATTATCAGATTTATTTCATAGAATATCAAAGATGATAACATGTTACCCATTGATATAAAACTGCAAGTGCCTAACATCGTATAGTTAGGTTAGGCTCATCAAATGAGGAACAACATAATGTAACTCATGGAAAATGGTATAATTTTAAAAAACTGAGAGCTGAAACGTCAGATCGAAATTATAATTATACCACCGTGTAGAAGAGAAAAAGTGGTGAAGTAATTGTGTAGTTTGTTTGAAATTTGTAGACAATGAGGATGTTTGATTAAGTTTTGTTTCGGAAAATAGCTAGCAAAAAATAAAAACGTCTTAGAGTCAATTCGGAAATACTTTGAATTTTCAAACTACGAGCGACGTCTTTTAAGTTTTGCATATGGAAATAAAGCAACACGGTAGGTAGTTTTAAATGACTTCATTGTCTTTCGAAGTATTCTCCACGAAGATTAATACAAATCTGCATACGCTCGAACCAATTTTCGAAGCACTTATTCCACTCGTTTGCTGGCAGATCCAAAACGGCATTTTTGAATGCGTCAACTGCTTCTTCTGGTGACTGGAACCTTTGACCACGCAGTCTGTTTTTAATTTTCGGGAAAGTAAAGAAATCGTTAGGACTTAGATCGGAACTATATGGAGGATGGTCCAATAATTCCACGTTTTCTTCCGTTAAATACTGCCTTGTTTTTTGGGCTTGCATTGTTTTGGTGGAGGATGATTCTTCTTTCGGGGTTGATTTTTCGAAGCTCGGTGAGGACTTTCGGCAAACAAATGGTGGTATACCAATCCGCAGTAACAGTTCTTTGCTCATAAGGAGGAATTGTTGCAATATGACCCGCCTTTGACATAAACGTCGCGACCATCTTTTTCGAAACACTTCGGATGACTTGTGTTGGCTTTTCTTCATTTTGACACACCCAAACAGCCGACTGTCGTTTATTTTCTGGTTCATAACTGTAAATCCACGATTCATCATCACTAATAATGCTGTATAAATTTTTTGAGTTTCCGGAATTGAAACGGTCAAGCGTTTTTTGACACCAATTAACCCTGGCTGTTTTGTGCTCTTCAGTCAACAGGTGGGGTATCCAATGAGAAACTAATTTTTTACTCCTAATTCTTCATGTAAAATTTTTTGAATTGATGTCTTTGAGATCCTCAAGGACGCCGCAATCTTGCGATATATCATATGTCTATCTTCAATGATGAGTTTGCGCACAGCATCGACGTTTTCCTGGGTGACTGCCATTTTTGGTGCACCCACCCTGGAATCTTCGCTAAGACTCACCCGTCCACGTTTCAATTCTCCATACCAACGGGAAATTGTCGACTGACGTGGCGCTTTGTTGTCGAAAACAGACAGTAACTCAGCAAGGCATTCTTGTTGCGATAATTGTCTCTGAAAGTTGTAATAAATTATGGCGCGAAAATGTTCTCGGTTGAGTTCCATTTTTCTAATGACTTGGTGACACTTAAAAATTCACTGTAGTGAGAATACTGCACGTATTGCTGTGAAACTTTGAATTCAAGTTTACTAAAGAGTGAGGTTAAAATTCAGTACTGACGTTCCATCCGCGCGGCCTACTATGTTTCTATATGCAAAACTTAAAAGCTCCGTTTTCTATTTACCTAAACAACTTACTCCCATGAAGTACTCTGGATCTTTTATTCGAAATGTCACAAGATCAGTATTTACTGTAATCGGTCAATATATTTATCATGAGATATGGTATACAGTGTGTCCCAGATTCGCTTCTCTATACAGGGATCTCGACTCCTGTTATACCTGCAGCACAGATTAAATGGGAAAAGTTTTAGGGGAAACTTATTACTGCATCTCATAGCCGGCTTTAGATTTACGACCGGTCAATTGGTTTTGGAAATATAGGCGTAAAACCGAAAATGTCGAGTTTCGTTTTTTGCCAGTAAATCCGAAACGGAAAATTTGACAGCTGTCAAAATGTAACATTATTCGGGCATTTTTATAAGGCAAATAAGACAGCATGTATGACAATACATGTCTCAATCGTATTTTGTTTTTCCCGCAACCTGCCTCAACTTTCATTTTTCATATGGCCGCCATATTGGACTTTTCGATTTTTGAAAAGAGCGTAAATTTCCAGCCTAGTGATGTTGCACAAGTGCATAAAAGATTGGAGTATCATCGAAATATCATCACACACGTAATGTTATGATTTTTTTTAAGGAGGCCATGATTTATTTGTCAGAAAATAAAATAAATAAGTAACGCATTTTTTTCATCTAAGGGCTCTGACTTTGACGTTAAGTAATTCTAAATTTCAAAATTGTGTTTTAATAGGTACTCGTAGTAGGTACGTTTGTGTTGAAAATCCCAATTTTGTAAATCATGCCTTATGGTCCGATGCGAATAGGTTTACAAATTGTGGAGTTTTAATAAGCATAACACTCATCATTGGCCTATGGAAAGCCCTCACCTTTTTTAATTGGGCACTTATTTGAAATTAGGTATTAATCGTTTCAGGAAATCGACTTAAAGGACCATTTTTGTTTGACTACAACCTAAACGGACAGAGGTACGTAAAACTTTTGCGAAACCAGGTTGTGCCAGCTTTACGATCGAGTCTAACCAAAGATGAGTTTAGAAGAACCTAGTTTCGACAGGATGGATGTCCGGCTCACAACACCATTCAAGTCAGAAGCTTCCTAAGAGACAAGTTCAATGAAAGAATAATTTCATTAAATGGTTCAATATCTTGTCCTCCTAGATCCCTGACCTTTCACCCTTCTCTTTCTTTGATTAGACAAAGAATGAGGTCTATGAATTTGATAATCCCGCGACCATAGAACATCAATAGAAATACACTAGCTAAGGTTGTACGTAAAACAGTCCCCAATTGTCAAAAATATCTGAATGCAAATGGACTTTATTTTGCAAATCTGTAAATTAATACCCACTTGCAAAATTAGATTTTACAATACATTTCAGTTTTGTAAATTTTTTGTTTGTTCAAATGTAAAATAAATTTACGACGATTTTTCTGACTTGTTTTTTAACACACTCATAGTTGTGAATTTGTCCCAAAACATTTCACTTATTGAGAAGTCGATATTAACGTTAATATTCTATTGAAAATGAAAGGCGTTTTTATTTTTTTCTATGAATTTCTCATTAATGTTATCTTCTCACAAATATTTCTGTGAAACTCCAATCTTTTATGCACTCGTGAGACATCACTAGACTGGAAAGTCTACACTCCTTTCAAAAATCGAAAAATCCAATAAGGCGGCCATAAGAAAAATGGAAGTTGATGCAGGTTTCGGGAAAACAAATGACGATTGAGACATGCCATATACGCTTATTTGCCTCAAGAAAATGTCCCAATAATGTCACATTTTCACAGCTGTCAAATTAACCGTTTCGGATTTACTGGCAAAAAAAACAAAATTCGAGATTTTCGTTTTTCACCGATATTTCCAAAACCAATTGTCAGATCGTAAATCGTAAATTTAACCTTCGTTGTAGGTATAACAGGAGCCAAGATCCCTGTACAGAGAAGCCTAGTCGTAAATAATTATTGATGCATAATGTTACGCAGAAATCCACTTATAGTATGTATCACAAGAATACTGATCATGTGACATAGGCGCTTTACCGTTTCTGAGATTGCAAAGGCGAGGTTCGAATTTGAAACACTCGTAGGAAATAAAGTGCTTTTAGCAACAGATGTTTCAACTCATCCCAGTAATTTCTCATCTAACACATATTCGGCTTGTTGAGAAGACGGCATGAATAATATAATTTCTGTAAAAAATGATCTAATGATATAGTGATGATTTAATTTTTGCCGGACTAGAGAAAAAAGGGGACACGTGCTCCAGTCGCGTAGGCTGCAACCTAAATACCAGGGCATCGCGACTACTATAAGAAACTTAAAGACGCCTTGATAACCCTTTTGCGCTGCCTAAGGTTAGCAGAACTGAGATTAGCCACCTTAGACAGACTGTTCCACAATTTCGACACCACTGGAACGTAGGAGCAATCGGACCGGCTAGTTCTTGATTTGCAAAGTTCCACAGAGTTGGGATGGGAGGCAGAAGCCTGTTGACATACGGGTACCAGAGAGCAAAGTCACGGACCGGGATCTCAGACTGCCCCTCATGGAACTGACATAGATCTGTCCAACAGCTCTCTTCTGAAAGGCATTGAGCAGGGACAATGTAGTCAGGGCGGTAGAACACCAAACATGTGAGCAGTACTTCAGCATATGTCTTATCTGCGCTTTAGCAGAGTGAGGAGGTTGTGCAGGAAAAGTACTTCTTAGCTTTAGTTACTACAAATAAGTATAAGCGTATACCTACTATTAAGACAGAATCGCATGAATTGCCTCTTAAATTCCACGATATACAACTAAAAGTCTACTACTTCAAGTCGAATCTCAAAGAATCTTTCCCAAGTCTAAGCTGATTCCATACCAATGACTTATAAAGCCCAGCCGAAAATGTTCTTCTACTTCACTTGCTTTCAAGAAAGTTTAATTACAAAGATTACCTTTGTGCCTTCGCCCATTGATCTGCTCGGCCGTTTGTTTAGGACAACCTCAAACGAACACTGCGAAAATTCAATTAAGTTTACTAAACTATATTAAAGACATATTTATAAAGGGACTAAATGAAATCTGTGATTTCAAATCGGATAAAACCTCTAAACCCTCCATGTCTGTCTGGCCGCTAAATGAAACCACATACAGGGTGAGTTTTTAATGCGTGCTTGGTCGATAACATCATTACACAGCTTGGTATCTAAAAAGTTAATTACAAAATTGTAGCCTACAGTATGTTCCTTACTTGGCTAATACATAAGTACGTGCTTACCCAAACATACATTTTGCAAATTTGGTTAGGCACTTCCAGACGATATAGGGTCTTATTTCTGAATAATTTAGAGATAATTTGCAATCTTGCAAATTTCCTTCTTGTATACTTACTGTTCCAGATTTTTTGATAGACTACACAGGGTGGTCAAGACGCAGAACGAACGATTTCTCAAAATTTTTATTTTCGCACCTTTCGATTCTTCTTTCCACAAGCTTTTTTTCGATATAAGGCTTATCGGGGTTTGTAAGAATAGTTTTTGAATTACAGTTAACCCTTTTTAAATCAGATATCAAGGTAAATGAAAAATATTACAACACCTTTCAAAATAAAGTAGCATTCAGTTAGTAGCAGTCGATGGTTAAAACTTGTATTATGCCATGTCGGAAATTTGAAGAGGTGTGCCTGGGTTCTTAGTAATTCAAAACACAGTTGTACCAGAAGCGTATATCAGAAAAAGCTTATGAAAATGTCACTTAGGAAGTATGAAAGTTTTGAGAAATTGTTGATTTTGCATTATTTACCACAACGAAAAATTCTCTAGTTATAATACTTGCGGAGGTGAGAGTTGTCAAATTTGAATGTTTTTTTTTTTGAGAGATTGACCAATATTTCAACAATTTGAAAATAAAACCCCATAGTAGGTATATCAGATTGCTTCGTTTGGAGAAGCCTATGCTTATATCTGTAATGAAATGTAGGTCTTTCCTTTCAAAAATATGTATGTGTGGGTCACCACGTTATTTATGAATCATCCTGTAAAAAAAATATTCTTCTTATGTTGGCTACAATTTTTGTCATTAACTTTTCTTAAGCCTGTACGTTTGAATTAGTTTACTGACACGGCGGTGACCTTTTCAAGTACTGATGACAATATATATCATTTGTACCTGATGTTACATTTAGCGGCCAGACAAACATCGGATTATCAGCATGAAAACCACAGGATACGTTTTAGGTGATACATCAACCTTCATAATTTGTTCTTGATAAAAAAATGCAGACGCCTCATTCCGTTTTATGCACCGCTCTAGTCTAGTGTTTTCCTAAATGAAAAATCACGAAGCTTAAATGTCTTCAACTTTTTAGATATAACAATAATTGTCTTCACTCAGCACCCATTGTCCTCAAGAACATGCAGTATGAAACCATAGTCTTCACAGTCTAAAAAAGACAGGAATTAAAAATAGACATTACAAAGACCAAAAAAGAATTGAAGATCCTAGCGTCATGTATAAGAACCAACCACCAAGTCTTCTCAAAGTAGATTTCTAAATGCATTTTTGTGTTGTCTCATATGTGGCGCTAGTGTCTTTCATATCACTTTTTGGACTCTAGAACAGTTGCTATCTTCAGATAGAATACGTTAGTCAATCTATTAATACAAATATAGCTTTCGAACGTCCGATCACAGACGACCAACCATGATCTACGAATAGTCTCAGGTAGGATGAAAGTTGACCAACTACTCTCAAAAGCTATATTACCGTATCTACCATATCGCCTTCATCTGGCGGCACAGTAGAGTCCCGGCTGACAAATGCGAACTGGGAAACAGTTCCAACAGACACCTTGCTGATTCACTCTCGCAGTGGTCGATTCTGGTTATGGATAGCCTGGTGCTCTGTCGTATCACGTTAATCAATGCGACGCCGCAGCGTCGGGCTGCGATACTTACAGTTAAACTTGTAGCTAAATTGATATCAATCAAACCTCCAGCAGTAACTATAGCCTTCTTTTGACTCTGCATGATGACCAATTTGGTTGTACAACTGCGTGGAAGGTATTCGTACCAGTAGCTGAAGTATGCGCTATTGCCAATCTTAGAAGCCTGCCAAAAAATGAAAATCTGTTTAAAATTTGAAAACAGGAAATAGATAACAATTTTAGAACTGCTACCACAAACCATATTGGAACATTTCAAAAAAAGTCCTTTCGATATTCGAGCCGTGTATTATTTGCATTGCTATGGTGTCTCTAGGTCTAGGGCAATGGAATCACTTCTTTGATCAAGGGTCAGGCCACTTTACTTATCGCAGAAATCTGTCAAAGTGGCATGTGTTTATGTTTGAGCACCTTTGCCAGCTTTTTTAGGAAATATTTCTTATTTGCAAGCGTCCGATATAACGTTTGACAGTATAGTAAAGACAAAACGGAGAAGGTTATTAATTGATTCATTTCTACTGATGCGTACAAAGTGTGAAACCTAAGCCAGACCTGTGTCAATATGATAAAAATGAGTCATATTTGGATCCATCGCCTGACGCCGTTTTATACAGCCAAAACAAATTCAAAGTCGGTGATACATGATCTGGACGATACAAGCATAACTTGGATATCAATTATCAATTAGCAATGAAACCCTCCTGTCAGTGTTAAAAACGGATGCCATTTCGGCGAAGAAAATCGCAAGTAAATTCTCCTAGTACAACGATGAAAGAGGTCTTAAACTTTCGTCTTCGTTGCCAATGCATTCTTTACAATCGTAAAAATTATAATATACCGATATGATCTAATGTAGTTTGTGTGAATTAATAATAAAAAGGAGTATGCTTAACAAAAAAAGCGACGGAGGAAATAAATGTGCAATGGTGAAAGGCTACAAGTATTAACAAACACGAAAAACGTCTGATCTATTCTTCACTAAGGCAAAATTCTCAGTCCATTGCATTTTCAATGTAAACACTCAGAAATTCCAAGCATACGCGAGATTCACTGAAGTACAAGAATGTCCGTGTCTCTGTCGCGGAAGAATAAAAGGGAGAAACCACCAGCAAAGTGACAACCAACGGAATCTAACGTAACACTGCTGACAACAATTTCTCAACTTGGACGCTTCTACGTACTGGGGCAGTTTTTAATGTGTCCGATATTTTAAGCACCTAAACAAGTTATTTATAAACTTTGTAGGCATCTACACCCTCCTTAGTTGGCAAATATGCCGCTTTCCACAGCGTTATTTATACGTACATGGCAAAACAATTATACATTTTTTTTAATTGAATATCCAATATATTTTAGTATATTTTAAAATGCCTTCTTAAAAGCAGAAGTTTGATAGAGCATGCAATAGGGTTTGCATTGCTAATTCTTGAGCTACGGGATATTTTATACAAAAAAAACATTGAACTTTGACAGCTTGTAAGTCAGTCACTTTTGCATATAAAGTATCTCGCTTTTTAAGAAAGTGAACTTCATATTCCACACAATTGGAACTGCTTCATCATCACAGAGCGTTAGTACCCTCAAACGCGCGGACCCGTAACATTTGCTACTCTTGCTAATCGCCACTATTTGATAAGAAACCATAAAAGACATTCACATTTTGTTCTGAGCCCAGATTAACATTTAACTAGAAGTTTTAAGGATCAGTATTTATCAGTAAAACCAAATCTTTTTGCACTAATATTTTTTTATTTTTCGCTCATTCTAAAGAAATGAGGTGTTCGGTAAATAAATAATAATAAAATATGGTATATAATTTTTGTTTAGAGCGAAGAATAAAAGAAGGATATTCCACTTGATATAAAATTGACATATGTTTTTGTTGTCACTTGATTATGAATCACTCTACAGAAAGCAGCATATAATCCGAATAAGGAACACATTTGTCTACAATTTTTGTAACTATTTTTGGTTCATATATTTAAATCCTCAAAGCTATCGACCGACTACACATAAAAACCGGCCCTGTGTGTAGACGTATCCTAGATCAGAAGTTGTTGTCAGAAGTGTCGGGTTAGATTACATTTTGAGTACGTTGGTTATCACTCTGCTGTTGGTCTGCTCCTGTTTTTTTTACAACAAATACGCGGAAATTTGTGTGATTTAGTAAATGTTAACAGTGTCTACGTTGAAAATGCAATGGATTAAGAATATGGTGATGTATACATAGCAAAAGTTAAGATAAGACTATACTTTAGCGCATATCTCTAATATTTTATTTCTTATTTTAAAATGAAAGACTAGGATGTAACCTTTACGAAAATATCATTTTTCTTTAAGGAACCCACTGTTTGCTATTTTATAGAAGTTCAAAGTTCCAGTTTTGGTGGTAATATTCTAGAATGGAATACTGTTTCATACGCTGGTTTTTTTGCTTTTTCACAAGGGGGATGGCCTGAATTATAAGAATATTAGCTGACCCGACAGACTTTGTTCTATCTTAGCTATAAACTGGGATGAATAATTAATAATAAAAGGTTAAATATATATAAAATGACAGACTAGTGAAAGTCAATTAAGCAACTGAAACGTATTTTCATCCGTCATTTTTATCCATAGAGTTAACTGATAAAGATAACAATCAGGCAACACTGCAGTTTATTTTGGAGATGCCATCACAAAGTACAGAAGGTAAAGAAATGTAAGTTCAAAAAACGAAAGCACCGTGTCTTCATAAGCGATTTTCTCTCACATAACTAACTGAGTACCTGTCTCTTTTGGTACTTGACTCATTTCTTTTGCTGTGCGTGTTTTATGCTCAAGCAAACTGTTACGATAAGTGATGTCCATTGTTGCCTAGTTGTACTTTTTTTTGGGAGAAATACGTAATAAAAAATGAGGTTATTTGTAAAATAAAAGTCTTAATTTATTATAAATGGCCTATTTTATGAGAATTTATCAGAATATTTACTGAAAATTAGATGAAACTTTGAACAGTACGTGTCTAAACAGTGGAAAATGCATCAGCAGCTCGCGTGACAAGAAATACAAAAAGCATCAGCGGTCATTGCACATAAAAATACCCTTCTTCGATTCGTCGATTTGAACCATGTCGCCAGGTCCACCCAATATATCATCGTCGCACATTAAGGTTAAATGAACATCAGCGACCATTTCATCGAATCAGCAAAAAACTTGCATGCTCTTCTTTGTTATGTTTTCATTATTTAGTGACTGTCAATAGCTAGTAAGTAAGTAATTTCTCATATATACAGGGTGACTTCGAAGTTGAGTCATTTATTTTAACAGTGAGTAGATCTGATCAAAAGAAATGTTTTTTTCCTTTACCATTTTTCTGGTAAAATTAAAGTAACAAAGTTATAGCCCTTTGAAAGTTTGAGTACCGCCCTGTCTAAATAATAATATTATGTGCTCGTGTTTGGCAACAACGGATATAATCCGCCTTATCGGTTCATCGCATCGGAAACAAAAAAGCGAAAGAATTTGGAACGATGTTTTTACAATTATTTCATTCAGTTGTATACAGTCAGTGCCAGTCGGTAACGCGTGAGTGAATAGTGGCGTCTGTTGCGTGGCTCAAACGAAATAAAAAATGGCACATGTTTATGCGGATCGGTTTCCCAATCGAGTGCAACCAACCCCACGTGCCTTTGTTAATGTACAACGGGCTCGTGAATCAGGTGACTTAAGACCTCACATGGGGACGGCATGCCGGTGCTCCAAGACCTCACGATCAAATACAGGTCCGCACTGAAATACTTGTCGGGAGGATACTTTATAAAACAAGGTAAATTTTTTTTGTTATTTTTTTTTTATTTTTACACACATATTTTGGTTTATCCTCCTTCTACAATCATTATCTGAAAATTAATGACTCAACTTCAAAGTCACCTTGTATACATATATACCTATATATATATATATATATATATATATAACAAAAAAATAGGAAAATGATTATTTTCTCTTTATATATATAAAATATATATAATATATATATATATATATATATATATATAATATTTAGGCCCAATTTCACCAACAACAGTCTGTTATTCTCCACCAATAGGGTAACAGACCGTCAGATACAGCGAATGAGCTTCAAGTTCCAATCAACAAATTTTAGCAGCCAATAGCTATGAAATGTTGAAAACAAAATACTATCAAAGTATGAGATGACAACTTGTCATTGAAATATCACCAGCTTATTGAATATTAAGAAATTACATAAAATTCAGTCAAAATTTTAAGAAATGTTTAATTACTATTGTTGATTTTTTATTCATGTTGATATTATTTTCTTCAATTGATATGTGATACTGGGTGTTTTTTCCTATAAACCTCTTGCAGAAGGCCATTAAGCACCTACTTGATGACAGGCTCTACCAAAAGATATTGCTCGTTTCCAAACATTCATTCATTTACTTGCCGTTCATCAGAACCATTATGGCACCTTAGATTGATATTCCCACAAAACCATTCAGGTTTTTTGATATCCATACATCCATAAAGTTGAATATTTTTCGTTGTTCAGGAGCTGAACAAATATCCGCACTATATTCACAGCGATTAATAAATTCCCAAATATACGCCTTAAAGCTACCATCAAACCTAAAACCTGCAAAGAAACTACAAATTTGCCATATTTTTCTTTTTTCACGAGTACACATACTAGGTAATATTTATATTAGACATTATTTGAATACAGCTGATTATTGCATTTCAAGGAGTGACACATGTGCGGGATCTGTCAACTCTTGATAGCAGTCACCAATCACAAAACATATTATACTCTGCTCCATGCTATTCAATGACAACACGGTGACTTGTGTGGTTATTAGCGGCCATTTTGTGAGGGTGCGACCGGGTTGCCAGATTGTGCATTAATATCCCGTTTCACCCTCCTGGTCCCAGTGGAGTAAGTTCCGCCAACTGTTGAAATATACTTTACTATGCTTTATAAGACTATTCGTGACATTTTTCCCAAAATCATTGCACAACACTTGAAAAAATGCAAATGAAAATTTAAAATTATTTCCTTGACGCCGCAATATAGCTTCGTGGGTACCTTGGGTTATACATCTTGACAGTTGGGATGTTCGATACGATCCTATATTTAGAAGTATCAATACATTCCACGAGTAGTAGTCATCTTTCGATCCGGACTGTGTCAGAAAGAGTTAGTGCCATTTGGCTGCGACATTACCCTGCCAAATCAGACATATCATTCATCAATTTCAAAGAAATTGTACAAAATCTTCAAATTTGTGAAGTTTCACTTCATACGTTGTTACCAGACATGCCCAAATCATCAGTTGCTGCCGTGATATTCATCCCGACCACTGCATCCCCACGGCTAGGCGACCTGTATGTTAAATTTGTATTGATAGGGCAGCGGGTTATGCTATAAATCATTTGTCACACTATTTGTGCACTGATTGCAACGGTTAGATGATACCAAAAATATTTTCATAAATAGGAGGTCTTTCCCATTCCGGATCGAACAATCTACCAAAGATGCTTATAATCATGATACCTAGTAAATTTTCACGAAAAAAATTCAAAACCAGCAAATGTAAAAGATTCATTTCGCACCCTCCACCACAGGACGTGATCGTCGTTAGACTTGGCAACCCTGCGAGTGTCAGATAGATATCCCCGCCAGTCAAAAAAGAAAAATAGACAAACAATAAACATTCTGTGAAACATTTTTCATAATTTTTTGTCTATGTCCATAGTAATTGCATTATGCATCAGGAAGATGTAGGGATTGACACGTCTTACACATATCATCTGTGTTTTAGGATGGAGAGGACATAATGTCTTTATTGCTTTGAAAAAATTCATTAACCCATAAATTAATAAATGATTACTATTATGACGTAAAGGAAGATGAGGAATTGGATGGAATGTATTTTATATTCTATTTTCTTGCAAAATACAGACAAATCCACACTATTCAACAGGTATGTAATGATAACTTTCAATATATTGAAGTTGGTAAATTCAAGAGTGCCATGCATTAACAAATGTCCAAATCTGCTGCCAAATTTAACAGCTAGAAAATCGACCTATTATTTGCCGCATTCCCATTCGTTGAGGGGGATATCGGATTGTTAAATGTAAACCTATAACATATATCAAAATACATGAAAGTTGTCCTATTTTTTCTGTACAAAAGCATCATGTTGGAATAAAAAAGTGGTCTTGTTTATAATACAGTCGAATTTTCATATTTCAATAGAAATCACTAATATTCAGAGACCTTTGACAGCTTCTGTCAAATTGCATTTCGATATGGTATTTTCCCATTGATCCATAATATTAATGTTGGTAAAATTGGCCCTTAATAAGGTATATTTTATGACAAAAAGTAAATAGATTATAGCTATAATATGGGAAAAACAATAACCGACGTATTTTTATGAAAGGCATACAGCATCCTTCAAAAATTGTATTCAGCTAACGCTATCGTGGGACACGAGGTAAATTTAGTACAGTAAAACCTGTTGGCCACATTGCAATTTCATCGCGATCCTGTGCTGATACTGCCGATTGCACATTTTTGCGCTAGTATAATATAAGTAAGAATATGACAAACCAAATCAAGGTATATTACTATCCATGATTAGCCAATATCGCAACTAGATGCAGAAGTTATGATAGTGATGGTGGATAGTGATGGGAATATTTATCTGAAATAAAAGAAATGACTACTTAACAGTGTTCTATTTTCATCATTAAAATAATGAAAAATTGCATTGTTGCGATGAACAGTGTCACAATAAGATACAGTTCATCTTATGTTCATATAATGTTAAGCATTCTTTTGTGTAAAAAACAGCTTATAAAGCAGTATTCTATACCACAGTATTACCACCCAAAATGCAACTTTGAAGTTATAGGTATAAAATAGCAATCATAGGGTTCCTTAAAGAGAAAATGATATTTTCGTACAAGTTACATCCTAATCATTCATTTTCAAATAAGAAATGAAATATTTGCGATATGCGCTAAAGTATAGTTCAGCCCAGTATTTTTCTGTTTATTGTAGAGCTATTTCATAAATGAGTTTCCGTCAAAACTCCTCTTTTTGGGTAGACTCTTGTTTATTATAGGTGCACACAAAGTACACTAGATCATATCGGAATATTGTAATTTTATCTGCAGCTGCTAGAATGGTACTCGACAACACCGGCTAGGACTGCCGCTCACAGAACACTAAAACCTCTTTCATCGCTATACTATAGTCAAATACCAGAATTGATGACATTAGCAGAAGTCATTGTGCGCCACTGCTTTGACGCTGTACCTCCGCGTAATAGCAGTGGCGTACGATGAGTTTCGCTACTGTCATCAATTTTGGTACTTCACTATAGGAGAAGTTATAAGCGATTTTCTCCGCCGAAGTGGAGCCCGTTTTTGACACTGACAGGAAAGTTTCATAGCTGATTATCTGATATAAGGTTGATCCAAGATAAATGCGCTTGGTATTGCTTAGTGTTCGTCTTACAAATATGGTGAATGTGCTAGTCATATCTAAGAATGGCCAGGATTGTATCTCATTATTCTACATCTGCACGCTGTATGGAACACGACCTTGCAGTTACGATAACAAAAACACCAAAGGCATTTTACCGGAAATTTCAACAGAACGATTTAATGAAAGCAGAGCTATCAACGTTTCTGTTTGCTTTGGCGCTGTTAATACAAGTGATACAAGTAACAACCTGCAAGCCTTTGTTACTATATTCGAAAAGCCCCGCAATGAGCTACACAATTTCCAATAAACGGTACACATGCATGGTCATTAGCGGATATTGCGTTGGAAACTTGAGTGAGATCTGTGTTTGAATGCGGAAAGCGTCCACAATCGAGCCTCCTATTGTTATTGATTGAAAAATATGAACAATAGCTGACAGCATATTTTAACAGCATTAAAAGTTTTGTTTGTTATGTTAAGCATGATTGACTCAACTCGTTCGTAAATTGTAGATAGATACTATTATCCAAAAAAATTATTTACACAAAATTTATCACCTGAACATTAGGTGCCAAAACCAGATTGGTAGTGAAAATGTCAATCTTTTATTAGGATTTTAATCTAAACCAAGGATACAGGACACATTTAAAACAGATTCATCATCTGTCCAATAAAATTCCAACCAGACATCTAATCGAACCAATGAATTG